ATTGATAGGCCATGGCGGCTAAATTCCCTTTTTGAATAGCATACCTTTATATTTTGCTGATCAATCATGAAGGTGGAGCGTGTGCGTGGTGTACAATGATGCCACGCACTCCTTCACTCGCTCTCTTCGTGCCCTGCGTGACCTTCGTGACCTGGGGTCATGCCGCCCTCCGTGTCACGCTCATCACTTCCGCGCGTGTCAGGAATGAGCGTGTAGCGTCTCCTGAGACGTGAATAAATATAACGAGCTTAGCGAGGATATCTTTAACAATTTAATTATGAATATAACGAGCTTACCGAGGCTATCTTTTACAATTTAATAATGAATATAACGAGCTAACCGAGGATATATTTTACAATTTAATTATGAATATAACGAGCTCACCGAGGATATATTTTACAATTTAATAATGAATATAACGAGCTTACCGAGGATATCTTTTACAATTTAATAATGAATATAACGAGCTAACCGAGGATATATTTTACAATTTAATTATGAATATAACGAGCTTTTCGAGGATATCTTTTACAATTTAATAATACCGAGCTTACCAAGGCTATATTTTACAATTTAATAATGAATATAACGAGCTCACCGAGGCTATATTTTACAATTTAACAATGAATATAATGTTCTTACCGATCGAGGCTATCTTTTAGAATTTAACAGTGGTCATGCAAGATCTACTTCGTTGCGAGGACAACAGCTTTGGCCATCAGTAAAGGATTTTCTCTAAGGATCTTCTGCATACCTGATCTCATGCGAGGATGTATATAGCTCCTTCTCTATAAGGATCCTCTGCATACCTGATCTTATGTGATTATATATATAACAGCTCCTTCTCTATAAGTATCCTCTGCATACCTGATCTCATGCGAGGATAGCTCCTTCTCTGAGGACAGATCAATGGTACCGGTGGTTAGTGGGAGTCCTACAATATAAAAAAATTCCGTAATTCCTGCAGCAACATTAAGAAGTGTATGGCCAGGATCTGTCTCGCCTCCTCCAGCAGTTCTATAGGAGGTTTTTCAGAGCAGACCAGAAGTTCATAAGTTCATCAGCGCATTTTAGATACACGATAGCAATACCAGAGCCTACGAAATACTACAACAGCAGCAGTTTGTAAGAACTTTACTCGTTCTCTTCACGATACAAGTACCAGAACCTACAAAGGAGACCAGCATTTGAAAAGAACTTCAAGAAGTTATCTTCCCATGAAATCAATACTTATAAGTTATAACCACGAAGCTTGCGTGAGATTCTCCATTTGGTTCACACAAGCTTGACCACTTCAATCCTTCTAAGAATGCACTACGCGCGCTGCGGAGGAAACCTTTACTCAGAATTGTGGAGCTGACGTTTGGAATAAAATAATATAAAATAAAATATGTTACCCAAACGTGACGGTGAGAGAATTGGGGGCAAGAAATTACAACGAAGGTGACCTCGATCACAGACCTTTGTGGGCCCAAGGACAACAGGATAACTGCCACTTCAAGCCAATGATGGGTCCGATGATGGAACGCAATGATAGTATGAGCGATGTTTGATGTCAGAGTGATGAGCAGGATGATGGAACGCAATGATGGTATGAGCGATGTTTGATGTCAGAGTGATGAGCAGGATGATGTAATGCAATGATAGTATCAGAGCTGTACGATGGCCTGATGGAATAGCCTGAGACCCTGCATTACTGCTGATGATATAATGTTGAGCAGAATGATGCTTGATGACGGAATGATGGTCTAAGTTGCCAGTCAATAGTTTGCTCTTTAATTATCAATAATAAACGCAAAGACATTTCAAACTAATTCACCATGATTTCATTGACAAAATTTTTTAATTTAAATTTTGCTCAATTTACTTATGTTTTATACTTTTATATGCTTCTGCATTCGGTGTTAAACAATTCATGGTGAGCAACTCCCTATGGACATTCATCATGATGTATTATATGAGCCAACGAATATCGACACATATTTTTCGGTCAACAGCTTCGTATTATTCGACAAGGTTCCGGGCGAATGACATTGAAACGACGTTGACCTCGTTGAAACAACGTTATTTCAACGTCTGAACGTGTGAACGTTTCGATGTTATTTTTAGGTCTGAACTCAGACCCAAGCTCGGTATGCAGACAGTGACGTGAAACAGTTCACTTCATTCTCTTGGTGCTCAGAAATAATCAGAAAGCGCCTTGCTGTCTAATATGAATTTCAATCAATTTTCAAATCCCTGTGCGCCGAGGAATGTAGCTGGAAATTGGTTGGTCATGGAAATCATAGCATTTTTAACCTACGGGTAGAAGAAGAAATTGGTCTGTTGAACGTATGTCTCATGCATCTACCGAATAATATTACCATGAACATATATAACCCCCCTCTCAATAATTGCGTGTTGTGGATATAAAATAAAGATGAATTTCAAGCAGATTACTTGCGTCGTGAGGCATATAATTGTTTACAATTATTTTGATGGAGCGATGACGGCAATTCCGGTCAGTTTATTCTTAGTGATGACCTGGTCAGTATTACAGGTTACAAACCATAGCTGTGAAGATAACAAGTGGTCAATCAAATTTATAAATATGCATGACGCATAAATGGTTTCATGTGCAGCAATAAATTCTTTATTTGTGGTAAAATTCGACGTATAATCGAATGAGGAAGTGCAAATAATTTCAGATCGAGGCAATATTTCGTTGAAATTTTTCGTCTAGCGATGTTTTGTTGGGCAGTTATACACGCATGCCAAGCAGCCACACTCCAAGCAGTCAAACGCAGTGCAGCAGAAGGCCGTACATTTTTGAAGTTGAATCCTGCCATTTACAATGCTATTCCTACCTAAATGGCGATTAATTTGCTCAGCTTGCACGATGCCACGCATAAAAATCTGTTCCTCCAAGCATGCATCGCTTCCACGACCTATAGAGCCTCCACTGCCTATGCATTCAATACAATTAATGCAAATTAGAATGTGCGCGGCTATAATAATTATTAAAATTCTAATACAATCTTGCCAATTAAACAGGCTACAATATAAGATCCCAATGATGACGTAATCTTCAACAAACACATTGAAATAGCGAGCGAATTGTACATTTTATTTTGTTTGATCTTGCGTAATTCCTGGCCCGTGTCTACATTCCAAACGTCTTCCCATGGCCGGACCGACACACTGCGATTCAGGGGCTTATAATAAGAGGACGAAATATATAAAATTCTAATCAAATTTATATATTTTAAAGTCAAATAAGGATGAACATGTTCCCAAACATGTTCCTCAAACATGTTCCCCAAAGTTCACTCGTTCCCACACACTCAATAAAATAAAGACAAGAGACCCTATATATATTTCCAGCTGCGGCGCCACGGGAGCAGGAAGTGTGAGTTTGTATTGCGACACCTGGCGTGAGAAATGCTCATTTCATGCATAACTGGGCATACGGGGCATAACTGTGCATACGGGGCATAACTGGGCATACTCAGGATAATAGGCATTACTGAGAATGCTGGTCCTGCATGTATGCATCGGTCCTGTATGAGCCATGCAGCATAACAGCAGCATGCACAGCAGAGTATGACGACATGACACAGCATAGTCCAGCACTGCACAGCAGAGTATGACGACATGACACAGCATAGTCCAGCACTGCACAGAACGATAAAAAGCATCGTCCTGCCGTGGCCATCAGACGCCGTGCCAAGAAGAGGACACCGGGCGGCCTTGGTCACCGCAACGGCTCGAGGAATCGTAATGATACCAGCACGGGACCGGCAAGAGATGAACGACCTAAAAAGACGCTAATTAACCCTAACACATCGGCATGGGAAGCTTATATTTCGACCGTCCGACATTAATTATTGAACGTAATACTACTCCGTGCTGCGTCAGAAAATACGTAGATATATTTTTATGGAATAAGTGCCAGAGGCTGAATAACAACTTCTAGAAAATTTTAGTCTATTTGTATTTAATAGAGGCTTGTGTGAAAAGTTATAGCATCCCTTAATTTACGCTCTCCTCAACTTCTTCCTCCTTAATTTTATGTCCTTAATCGGTGCGCCCCTTAACACCAAAATCCTTAATTACTGTATATCCCTAATTGACGCACCCTCTAACACCCAAATCCTTAATTATATCCTTAATTGATGCGCATCTTAACTCTCAAATCCTTAATTGTATTTCCTTAATCGGCGCGCCCCTTAACACCCAAATCCTTAATTATATTCCTAATTGACGCACCCTCTAACACCCAAATCCTTAATTATATCCCTAATTGACGCACCCTCTAACACCCAAATCCTTAATTATATCCTTAATTGATGCGTATCTTAACTCTCAAATCCTTAATTGTATTTCCTTAATCGGCGCGGCGCCTAACATCCTAATCCTTAATTGTATATTTTCTCCACAGGTTAGATGAAGGCTCTAATGTCCTCCGCAGGAGATGCAACACTAAAAATAAAAGCCTAATAACTATGCACAAATTGAAGCAACAGTAACAGACTGCAGGGCAATAACTGAAGTATTGAAAATTCAACGAGAAATAAACTCAGGAGTCTAAGAATAAATGCGGTGATAAAAGAAGGTGGTAGTGCAAAAATAGAGCGTTTGAAGAACAAAGTTTACATCTAATTAATAAGGCAACAGATTTCAGAACTAATTCCGGCGTTATTATTATTCGAATAATGTTCCCTTGAACATTATTCGAGATCAATTCGATTCATTATTCTTAAACTCAATTACTGAGATCAGAATAAGTGGCAATCAACTTAACGATAGCAAGTGTCCCTAATTTTACTTATATAGACAATAAAATAGCAAGTGTCCTAATTGTCTTTGACGATTTCTTCGCGGAAGAATGGTCGAATTGATTGCTCATTGGAAGATTGAAACTAACGCAGATATCACTGAATAAATATTAATAGTGAAGAATATTCATAGTGAAAGATATTTAATATGCATTTACACTGAAGAAAATATTTTCAGTGAATAAGATTTACAGTGATAAAAATTTTCAGGGAATGACATTTACAGTGAACGATATTTTCAGGGAATGACATTTACAGTGAACGATATTTCAGGGAATGACATTTACAGTGAACGATATTTTCAGGGAATGACATTTACAGTGAACGATATTTCCAGGGAATGATATTTACAGTGAACGATATTTTCAGGGAATGATATTTACAGTGAACGTTATTTTCCGGAAATGATATTTTCAGAGAATGTTATTAACAGTGAACGATATTTTCAGGGAATGATATTTACCGTGAACCCTATCTTCAGGGAATGACATTTACAGTGAACGATATTTTCAGTGGATGATATTTACAGTGAACGATATTTTCAGGGAATGATCAATTACAGTGAACGATATTCACGGCAATAAAGGAATTAATGTTAAGAACGAACGCATTGAATGACGCGATGGCTTGGCAATAATCGAAATATAAACTAATTTTTATTGCTCACAAAAGATTCATAAGATAAAAAATAATCGTACATCAGACGTAATATCGTTCTGCTTTATTAATATTACAGTTGTAAACGACCTCGTCTGGGACTCGTGAGTCAGGCTTGCAATTCACCACTGGAAGCTACCAACAAGAACGATATCTTCAACAACAAGTCTTATCGTAAAATATCGTAATCTGCCCAGCATCGACAGAGACGAAACTCACCGTAACATCAACTTCAACAACAAATTTGATCGTAAAATATCGTAATCTGTCCAGTTTCACCTTCGACTTCCTACACCGTAGTAAGCAATTGCACTTCGAATTACGAATTCCTTCAAGAAGTGGCGCTGTCGGCGTCAATCCTGTAGATCATTTGTATTTCTTTAGCTTGATTTAAACAACGAAAAATCTCACAAATTCTGCAATTATAATAGAGAACATACACCTATAATATTAAATTTTAATGAAAATAAACCTTTACGACATCGCCACAAGCATCATATAGAGGCGATACAGCGCTACTGCCCTGAAACTTAGTGGCAAAATATAGAAATAAAAATATTAAGAAAATTACAAAAGCTTTTGAGGATAAACAAAAAAAAAATTTCAAAAAAATTTTTGAGTATAAACAAGAAATGTTGCTCCTGGAGGTCGTCGCTCTGTTGCTGACTTCGGCCCTATATATAACGTCTGCGCGCCACAGCGACCAGAAGGCGAGTACAAAAATATCCGGCTTCGAAAATATTAAATTTTCAATATTTAATTATTATTATCATCTATGTAAAATAAAAAACAGACAATAAATAAGCAATCAGTCAATAATACACATTAATTCTGAGTGATTTATACCAACAGCTGATAATTTATTATGTGATTTATTTCATCAGAGTTTACTTTGCACTCAACAACCAGGAAATAATCTATGTGTATATTATGTATCCATCATATAATATATAAATGTATATACTATTTAGTTTATAGCTTGTTGACTTTGCACTGTACAGGAGCCGCCGCTGTACGCCGCCGTGCCCGACACGAGCTTCTCCTGCTCCCACCACATGGCGGGCTACTACGCCGACATGGAGGCGGGCTGTCAGGTGGGTTATGGGTGGGCTCGGGGCAGGGTGTGAGGTGGGTTCGAGACAGGGTGTCAGGTGGGTTTGAGACAGGGTGTGAGGTGGGTTCGAGGCAGGGTGTCGGGTGGGTTCGAGACAGGGTGTCGGGTGGGTTCGAGACAGGGTGCCAGGTGGGTTCGAGACAGGGTGTCGGGTGGGTTCGAGACAGGGTGTCGGCCCTGTCGGGTGGGTTCGAGACAGGGTGCCAGGTGGGTTCGAGACAGGGTGTCGGGTGGGTTCGAGACAGGGTGTCGGGTGGGTTCGAGACAGGGTGTGAGGTGGGTTCGAGACAGGATGTTAAGTGGGTGTCGGGGTACAATCAGAAGAGGGCCAAAACTAAAGAATTAGACGCTAAAGTCTATACCACATACCATACCTACCTTAATGTCGCTAAACCCACATTCTACAACATATAATGACTATGTTGGTAGACATACCACATACCTATTCTAATGTCGCCAGGTCTACCGAAATACACTAGCTATGTCGGCAGATATACCACATACCTATTCTAATGTCACCAGGTCTACCATATGTGCGACACGCTGGGCAAGCAGTACTCTTACCTGTGCCCTAACATGACGGTGTTCAACCAACGCTTCATGGTATGCGACCACTGGCACTATGTCAACTGCTCCAACTCTAACGCATACTACAACCTCAACGCCAGGATGGCCGGCGGTGAGATACATGCTCAGGGGTTTCCATAAACGCAATGAATAAAAAATAACTTGTAACTTAGGATTAACAAGTATTAGTAGAGATTCCCATTCTCCAAAATGATGAAATGTTGAGTTGTACGAAGCTGGCGGTGAGATACATGTCATGCAGTCCTAACGATATAGATAGAGAATAATCAACAAAAAAAATAGATATTTACATAACAGAGAAGTTGAAAAGAATTATTAGAAAAGATATTCATACTACAAAACGAGAAAGATTCTTGATTAAAAGTTCATATTTCTGATCGCAAAATGACTCCACCTTTTACTTCACTAATCACTTCCGCCTGAAAAAATTTTTTTTTCAGGCGGAAAAAAAGTGCCGACTCCGGGTCGCCGAGGCAGCTTCGTCGACAACATGGAGGAGAATGACATCGACGACGCAGATGTGAGGAAAGTCACGCCACTTACGATAACTGATAAGAAAGTTGCTATGAAGATTAAGAACACGCTGAGAAGCCAGGAGAAGAAGATATCAACAACCACGCCTAAACAAACAACTCCATCAAAAAGACTGCAAAACATTACTGACTCTATGTTGACTGGGGAACCTCCTACAACACGATCATCATTACTTCGTCCATTGACTACGTCTTCAGGAAAAATACCGACGTCACTAGACGTTGATATTTCGTCATCGCTACCCACAGTGAGACCAATAAGTACTGATCGAAGAAGAACCACGTTTGACTTGAAGAGTACTTTTTCAGCTTTAGTTACAACTCCAAGTCCATTAAGTACATTTTCGTTATCTTCCAGCACCTCAACGACGGAAGACAGCAACCAATTCACCAAGTCCACTCAAGCACAACCAGCAGTTCGTCAACCTATACTAACATTAATGCCGCCGATCATTTCGCGGTCTAGAATCAAGCCCTTCGCATTCCCAATGACGGAGATACACAATTTCTCCGAGCTAAATAAGAACCGAAGCGCCATCGTTTCACTTCCTGCATTCCAAATGTTCCCTGGGTTGGTGGCTAGGGGATCTGGTCCCCGTTTTGGATTTGGGTCGACACATCCGTCACGTCGACCTGCAGGTCATGGGGAAATACCACCGGGGATAGAATTCCATCCGTTGGTCTTGGAAATTTCACGTCAGCTTTCCTTGCCAAAGGTCAAACAAAGTCCACAGGAAATTGATGAGACGGTTTTAGGCTCAGAGGAACAGACAGGCAGTAATAGTGTAGTTGGGAGGAATTTTTCGGATACAGAAGAAGTGTTGCAGCCATTTACTGTCGTGATCAATCCCCCAAATGGGAGGAACATTGTGTCGTTTCCTATTCAACCGTTACTCGTAACCCAAAATTTGTCCCCTTTGGTTGATCCGAGAATACAGCAGGAAGATATAACGGTGCTGGAATCTAAGAAGAATGGCAGAGATAGAATTAATAACTTTAAAATAAGATCCCAAAGGCCATCCATCTCCAGTAACCAGGCCTTTTTCATCCCAGAAACTGATTTGATTCCGCCTGACGATATTTTAATTGAAACAACAGACCCTAACTCCGCGAAACTCGACATTCCCGAAAGCAGCACCGAGGCACCCTTACAAGATCACCACAACATGACCATGATATTTCCAGACGCCAAACAGGTCAACTTCACACAACTGTTCGGAGGTCTCATCGTGAATCCGAATTGTCCTGAATGTCATCCGGCATTCTTAACTCCCGGAAAATGTACGCCGTGCGTCCGGATACGATGAAGATTGTAACAGGTTTAGAACACGTGTACATGATTGTTGAGCGATAAGATAAGCACGTTCACTAGATTTTTATATTTTCGACAGAAAATAACAGTTTTTATCGCGTAATAATGTAATTTTTAAAACGGGCTTAATGTCGAAATGATCAGCCTGACATTCAGGCGGATTATTACATTCGTATTCTACTTTAATGATGATATGTGACCCCTTCTAGGCAGAATGCAAATTATTATGTGACCCCTTCTAGGCAGAATGCAAATTATAGTCTCAGCAAAATTAGGTTCAAGAAAGTTTTTTTTTCAAATATACAAGTTACAAAATGAAGACGACAGGTGGGGGCTTCATATATTGATTGCGGCATGGAATAATGCAACAGAAAATTTTTCAGTAAATATTTTGAGCAAATTTATTTGATGACAATGACTGCATTGAATTGTTTTGTGTCCGAATTAATTATAAGAAAACCGAGTCCTAACCCTGAATTTAATGAAGCGTTCGTATGCGGTCACATTTGTCAGGCGGCACCATTAAGCGCCACCAGACTGATTATATTATATATTTCCATCTGACATCGATTCGTTAACCAAGTGGATAAGCTAAGCAAGACACCTCTCTGTAGAACTTATCTTGATACGGGGTGGTTAAATGTGAGCGATATAATTCAGTATACGGGGTGGTTATACGCGAGATACAATACAGTGTAGCCTAAGACCTCGACCGATAGGTTGGAGTAGCTTATTTGCCGCGTATTCCTTTCTGTAAATAACTTGTAAGTTCGTTCGTTACCATATAAATGTGTAATCTTCAATGTGTAATGTTTCAGTTCAAATCTTCGTCACGTCGAGACCATTAAACATTTGTTATAAAAGTTATCCATGCCCGCTGCACGCCAGAAAAGATCTAGCAAGGTAAAAGAAAAAAAAATTAGTTTACGAACAATATATTTCTTCTGATGTATACAATGATCTGCCATCAGGCAACACCGCATTCAGATTGATTCTAAAAAGGCTAACAACGTTAGTGCAAAAAAAACTTTATTTGCACGTACGGTTTTCACTTTTAAGTCAACATTTGCCGGCTGTTCAACAATGCAGTCAAGTAGGCCTTGAAACTTGACTCATTTATGATCGATGTACAAAATGCTAAAAGGCAGCTTATTTTGATAGTACAGGGAACAAACTAATGCCCAAGTATCCACCTACCCTTAATAATTTTCCTTAATATGGCGATCCTGCCTCCAAGAGTTTGACGTTTGACATCGAAACCGTGTTTTCGGATACGTTTAATTTCACAAGACTTAGGGTACTTATCCCTGATCCTGTGTCGCACTTGCATGGCCATTACCGATATCGTACTAGGATTGAGGAAGCCGGTATTAGAGGCCAGGAAACCGGTGTTGGTCGAGGCGGTTGCCGGGGTGTGAGTGGCCTTGAATTGTTCAGGGTCAAGGCGACCGGTGGTCGCTGGCGGGACACGGTAGGCAGTGACGTAACTTAAGTTGCGTAGCGGCAGGGTACAACTTGAGTAGCGCAGTGGCGAGATTTGTGAAGGCATGAAGGTGCGAGCGCCTACAGAGAGTACAGATTGTAGCACAGACATTGTTCTTTGTTACAATTATTGTTATTCCTGAAAATGAAGAAAAATATTAGTTGGGATTGGGTCAGCTTTATTCTGGAAAAATAAATGTTGCTTGAGGCTTCAATTGACTTGATAGTATACCAGTATAATTCGATCAATTACATCTAAATTCCGTCGGAGGTAGAATCCGTTACGCCTTTAGCCAAAATTCCCCAGATACTTTTCCTGCAAAGTAGTTTCTTGCTGTGCAGCAAGTAAAATAAAAAACTTTGGATTTTTATAGCAGATACAAAGCTAAAATTTCGCATTTGGTTTTGGCAAAATTTCAGTTAAATGTGTGTCGCGAACAGAAGATACGGTACCGTGGGTGAACGCCACTAGTTCCGTGAAAGTTATAAAAATATTCCACGAGAACGTGCATGTGACATCCACCGCGAAGCAGCACGCAGGATTTTGCACTCGAAAACTGGGTCACGAAGAGTAACACACAAGCAAAAAGTGCATCGCTATTAGGATAAACTCCCACTAATTTATCTGAGTGTAAGCGTGAGTACTTCAGCGCGCCTGGGAAGGGCATTAATCTAATGTACACATCACAGTAGTAAATAAATGGGGTAGAAACTTCAGACTCGGGACAATTTTTGTTGTAATTTACACCCATTATTGAATTAGACATTAAATTATTGATAAACAATAACTACATTTGAGACACAAAGGTGTCACTTCCGAAGAGGCGTCGCGCGCATTTAATTCAGTTGAAAAACATAGAGGACTTTACACTCAGTTTTGAACTTCGCTTGAAAGGTATGAAGATAAATACCACGATAAGCTATTATAGTTAACATTCAACCTTGTACACCATATCTTGCCTAATAGTGTGAACCTTATTGCCTAATAAATCTGATATTGCCAAATAATGTGAGCTTTACTGCCTTATAAACCTTATTTTTATCGTAGTTTATGTAACTCATTGCAGACTGATTGGTTACATGAAAATGCCGTAGCGACGGGAGGGAGCGGCACTAGTTCCCTTAACAAAAAATGTTTCGCTGCCCGAAAACCTTCATAATGACGCATTATTCACATTCAAGTCGCGAATTAATTTCAGGGCTACATAGCAATTTGGCAAATTTTGTTACTTAAAGAATGCATGAGAGCTATTAACGCGAGCGTGCGATTCCCGCCGCCAAAGTAAGCATTGTGAAGAGAAACCATTGATACGAAGAGAATTTATTCATGCCAGTCATAAAGCATCGTCGCTTTGCTTTCTTCTGCGCGATTCTTCTTCTTCTTGGCCGGCGGCGGGATAGACGCTGATGGAAAAGATCAATTAGTTAGCATACACGAGGTCAACACGATAGCCCGATACATACATACAATATAAATCAGTACAGTTAAAATCTATGGGTCGATTAACGTAATCACATACAAGGGTTTCCAAGAGATTGATACATTCGTTATTTATTATCTTGAGCTCTAGGAGCAAATTACCATCACCTGGTCCACTAGCTTCGTTGTCTCGCTTGAGCGCTAGCAGCATTTGTAGCTTCTTCGCTCGCTTCTGCTCCTTCTCCTCCCAGTCGGTCTTGTCAGCTTTGCTGTAGAGGCGCACGTTGAACTTGCAGTAAAGAATGGCTCCCCACTCGCTGGCTTTTACGGCGTTGGCGTGGTCAGCCAGCTGCTGGCACATGGCTGACTTGGCTTTGATAACAGCCACGTTCCACAGCGCCTCCAGGGCCCGGGAGCCGTGCTTGGAGCACGCCAGCGCCACCACTTCGTTCTGTGTTTAAGAAATCTAATGTTATACTCTGCGCCTCGCATGGGCCTAATATTGTTCTACAAAAAGCTGGCATTTAAAAATTAAAAATACATGGCATTTGAAGCTGGGTAGCCGAGTGGTTTTAGTGCAGATAAAATCAGCGAGGTGGCAAGGCAGTTAAGCACATTGGAGATATTGGAGCAGCGAGACGTTCAGAATCAGCGACAGACCTGATGGCCGAGTCTTCTACGCTGACAGCGCTACTCTATTGTATTATATTTAATAAGACGAGAACGGCGTCTGAGTAGTGTTCAACTAATTCAAAGTTATAAGATAACACATGAAAATTTCGTAATATCATTACAAGTGTTCAAGCTTCCTATTCACCGTATAACCATACCGGTTGTCGTGCATTTCATTTATCGCGGTTCCTTGAACTTCTTGTGCGAGCATCAAGTTGATAACCAGCGCGACTCAACGGAGATTTGTTCGGACCGATGTATGATGTATTTATAATAATGTTGTGTAATAATGTATGTATATTAATTTATATGTAACAATGCAATATAATGTTCAGGATATAAGCTTTACAAAATCATGACTGCAATATTAGTATGAGCGAAGTAATGAGATACTGCGATGGAGCTTACCTCGCTTGTAGAGACAGAACAGAACTACGCCCTATCATCACACCTAACTAACATATATAATGTGATGTTTTGATAGTTTTTTACTGAACTTTAGAGAAGAGACATATCTACACCTGTCATCAATAATAATGTGATCAATATATTTATTGATATGCTTCGAGAAAAGTTACCTGGAGTTTGGAGACGAGCGCCATCCTGCTCTTGGTGCCGACGAAGTCGCTGCTGCAGAAGGCGTCAGTGACGTGCGAGCCTTTAGGATGCTGCAGGACGCGCAGCAGCTCAGGCGTGGGCATCTTCAGCAGACTCTTCACCAACTGATGCAGCAATAATAACGGATAACAAATTATTGCAAAAAATTACTTGTCTCTAATATTTCCAACATGCTAAGTAATACATACTTTATGGTATGAATGCTGTCCTTTAGTCTGTGTGATTAATACTCAAATAATATTATTCGTGCTCTAAATATAGGATTTTAGTGAATTACCTGAGCCGTGCAAGGCTTCTACTGGATAACCAAAAGTTCCACAGGTTTACAACAACTGATAACAAAGCTCCATTAGTGGCAGTAGGTTGGTTAAATTCAAAGATTCTAACGCACCTTGATTGGCTTATTGAAGTATAGGAGTTCCTGTAATATACGCGACCCATGGAAGTTGACAGACAAAGTAGGCTTGTTTGCTGTACAGGAGGCCGCGTACTGTGCGTACGGTGTGAGGTACAGCAGGCACGGCGCGATGCACAGCTCATGCTCCTCAGACTCGTCGCAGCCCAACACCGACATCAGAGCCTGCGAGGAAACAATGATGTTTAGACAATGAATAAAACTAAACTAAACAATAGACCCCTGGTGTTGGGTCTACTGACGCTAGTTGTTGGGTCTACTGATGCTAGTTGTTGGGTCTACTGATGCTAGTTGTTGGGTCTACTGACGCTAGTTGTTGGGTCTACTGACGCTTGTTGTTGGGTGTCTACTGACGCTAGTTGTTGGGGTCTACTGATGCTAGTTGTTGTGTCTACTGACGCTAGTTGTTGGGTCTACTGATGCTGGTTATTGGGTCTACTGACGCTAGTTGTTGGGGTCTACTGATGCTAGTTGTTGTGTCTACTGACGCTAATTGTTGGGTCTACTGATGCTAGTTGTTGGGTCTACTGACGCTAGTTGTTGGGTCTACTGACGCTAGTTGTTGGGTCTACTGATGCTAGTTGTTGGGTCTACTGACGCTAGTTGTCGGGTCTACTGATGCTAGTTGTCGGGTCTACTGATGCTAGTTGTTGGGGGTCTACTGACGCTAGTTGCTGGGTCTACTGATGCTAGTTGTTGGGTCTACTGACGCTAGTTGTATACATTCTAGAGCTTGCTTAGGAATTGAGGTTTATTAATTAGGTAACATGGGTTCGAGATCTCGGAGGTTGCAAAACAAGCTATTAAGTTAAGAAGATGAATACAACAAGGAAGGCTACTTGAATGTTAACGTACGTACTAGCAGAAACGTTGTAGCCCTACATAATACATTTGTATGCAGAAAAATAGGGGCCAAATCCCCAATGACCATAATATGAATAGTTAACAAAATAATGCTTGTGTTAGAGAGAAATGATGCCTTATGAAATCGTGAGAATTATCAGTTTTAAAAACATCAAAACTTAATAATTGTCCAACTTCGGTGCAGCTATACATGTCAAAAAATTTGATGAAATAAGATAGAAGTCGTGTGTAAAACACGGCCCCCAGTCGTGCGTGAGCTGATAGTCTCATGATAAAAAATACCGTCGCGATAATGTATAAAATGAATATTTGTCTCTTTAAATATAAGTCACATGGAACAAATTATCGTCTCAAATAGTCAGAAAATTAAAGCTTTATATTGTTCATAGGAAGGCAAACCTTGAGGCAGTTTCCCTGTGTCTTGCCCAGTCGCCGACAAGCTTGTGCCCAGGCGAGCAGGACGCCGTGGTGGCGAGCCTGCAGTGCCGCCCCCAAGGCCGACTCCAGGCTCTCGCTCACCGCCGTGAACTGAAACAAATTAACAAAAATCGTATAATACCATTTAAAAATATTAGAAAATAAGTGCTAAAATTTGTAAAAATTAGTCACAACTAGTCACAACAAATTTGTAAAAAATTTTAGCTGATGATAATTGATATAAAAACTAAAAAAGAAGCAAAACAATAAAACAGCAACAAGAGGTCATTTTTTACAAAATCGTATGATTTTATTTGAAAAATATTAGAAAATAAATGCTAAAATTTGTAAAAATTTTAGCTGATGAAAATTGAAATAAAAACTAAAAAAGATGCAAAACAATAAAACAGCAACAAGAGGTCATTTCAATATATTGTAAATACAAGCACAATACAAATATGATATGTTTATAGTTCTGGGCTCAAAAACATTTGTATCGCAAATACAATAAATCTTTCAGAATTTTTTTTTGTTTTTATTTAATTTTGGTATTTTCGTTAAATATTTTACTGGAATAATTAAATGAAAAATTATATTCAATACATAAATATTCCATAATGCATCCACCTGTAGATGTCAGGTGCTTGCTAAAGCAAGCACCAGCAGGTGATAACTTTATACATAGATATATCAACTGAAGGCAGCAATATAATATTAACCTGATGGTTCCAACTCATTTGACTGTATCAAGAAGTTGTTTGTTGTTATTGTATGAAGTACAGACCGTCTCGGTGTCGCTCCAGGCGTCCAGGAGACGCTGGACGGTGAAGTTAGCCACCTTGTGCGCGACCAGACTCCCCAGGCTGGGTTCCAGCAACTTAAAGATGGCCGACAACTGGGCGCCACTGCACGTCTTGATCATTGTCTGTTAAGGAAATAGCAGATATAACATTCTATAATAAAGGCATGATATCTTCTAACCAGGCTGGGCTGTAGCAACTTGAACATGGCCGACAACTGGGCACCACTGCACGTATTGATCATCGTCTGTGATAGCAGATATTATAATATTCTATATTAATAGTATGGTATCATAAAAAATTTCAATAAAATTCTTGACACTATGGACAAGGTGCGATGATGAAGACTTTTCATGCGTTGCAAACAATCATGTTTGTTTTGACAGTTAAATAAAAAATATCAAGAGGGGTGCAGATCTTTGTATGATAAACTAAACTATGTCACGCTCACAGCATGCACTGAAAGTGACAATTAAAAAAAGCAGGACAAGCTCTGCAAAAAAACTACCTCGAGCAACCTTGCTGTGGGTTCACAATTGAAAACAGCAACAATTTTGCCATCAGCTGCAGGAAGAGATCCTGTAGGAGAGGAGCACAAGGTGATGTCGTCCGGTAGCTGGAGCAGTCCATGGTCCAGCAAATGCTGCACAAGAGGCAGGCACAGAGCAACTTGGTGGTGAGGCTTGAACGTCTCCAGGGCACACTGGTACACGGCGGAGGAACAGGCTTCCATGATCACGTCTGTAACAAAGGTGTGCGATGTAGAACTTTCACCACATTCTCCCTTCATAGTAAAAGCAAATAAATGGAAAATATTGCTGTTTATGAGAGGTTTGAAATAAAAACAGCTCAGCATGCGACTATTCTGTGTTCTCAGAATTAGACAAAAAAGTAAAAGAATTTCTAGAATTTTGTGCTGTTTAAACATTATATCAATGATAGGTGAAAAGGAAATTTTATTAGATTATTAGAAAGTTACCAATACTAATGCACGTACTGGGGCACAAATTTGTATACAGCCGTTTGAAGAGATCTACTGCACAATCCTAATTTCTGGAGCAAGTCCCTAACTAATTTAGGGAAAGTCATGTGTCTTTGTTTACAGCACCCTTTATAAAAATATACCTACACGATCCTATATAGGTACCTACACTAGGTAATTCAGGCACGGTTACGAATCTATTTCAAATGAACCCTTTCAGATATCTACATAATCATGGTATTATCTACACAATTAATATTTCAGAAGTGACTTACAAGGCAGTTCAGGCACGGTCATGAGTCTCTGTGCCATGTATGAAACAAGGTCCGCAAACTCCGTAGGAAGAGAGGGGCTGGCAATGGCGAGGGAGAGTGAGCTGTGAGCTCTCTTGCTGGCAGTGCAGCTGGGACTGGGATCCACGCCAGTCAAGATGATCAGGAGTGTTCGGATCACATGCGACGCGTATGTGTCACCTATGAAGTCCAATAGGTTGTTGCTGCAATATTTACTTACCTGTCAATAAAACAACATTAAAGCAGATAAAGGCACCATATTTGGCAAGGTCAAGAATCAATTTAAACGACTATGTAACAAAAACTTGACTTGTTTGAATATAAAAGAAAGGTGCTGATAGCGTTCAACAATTTTTGATGATGAGGCTTTCAATGAAAAATTGAATGAAATTATGTTAGATAATGTCTTGCATCACAAATTCACAATTTATGTGCTAAACAAAATGATGAATAAGAAAATGGTGCAAAACAAAATTTGAAGAATGACTTTCAGGCACACAACATTAGAGATCCAACAAAAACAACATTTGATTAAAGTGGAAATGACTCACAACTAATAACTTAGTCACAAGATCAGTTCAAGAAGCTGAAGTTAGCAGTAAATTAAACAGAAAATTCTATTTAAAAATACAAGGTCACACCTTAACCATGTACTCAGTGAGATTTTTCTTCTCCAGTTCAGTAAGAGGAACCATGATGGGGTTTTCATCATCATCATAGAGTTGTTGCATGTAGTCATCCTGTGAAGCATGTGAGGTGGAATTATTATTTGATAACCAAAGATTTTAGGCATAGCTTCACTCAAGAAAGGCAGATAAAAATGTGAATAAATTAAGATTTTGACAGGGCACTGATGCAAAATAGAAGTTTAAAAATTCTAAATTCTTCTACAAAAAAATTTAAGATCTTTCCAAACAATATAAAGCTAAAAATTTTCATAGAAATAAAAATATATAAACAAAAATACTTTGCATTTGAAATACCAACCTGAATCATCTTTAGAGATATAATCAAAGTGGTTTCCAGAACACGAGAAGCAAAGGCATTGATGCAAACTGTCCACAAGTCTTGACTGAGAACACTTGCAATATGGCCCACTGATGCTGCAGATGCTGAGGGTAGAAGGCTCTGTAATATTCGAGAAGCTAGATGGTTGCAGGCATAATGGAGCCCATCTTTGTTGGTGAAGTCATCAATGAAGTTCTTGCACAACTGATCTGCACAAAACAGAAATAGAGTCTGAGCAAAGATCAGCAACAATTTCTATGGTGTTTTGCAAAAAAAATAAATCCTCATTAACAAACTTTAGGATATTTTTCACTGCAGTAAATACTGAGTAAAATTACCAAAGATCCATTAATAAAATCACATAATTACTTATATGACTTACTGTAAAATGGGGTAACTTAGACTACTTTTAGTTTTTTTAACAAAAACCCCCAAAACTCAAAAACTATTTGACATATAAAAATGTTGTCACTGGCCATTAAAGGCCTAATACTGGGGTTACGTAACACAATAGAAAGATGAAAAAATTATGCATACCGTCAAAGGGGGGTAAAAAGGGACGGGCGGGGTAAATAGGGACGCGTGTCCCACATTTCGTAGAAATGTTGTAGCAGCTAAACTAATCAAAATATTGCAAAAACTAAAAATAGTGGCGTAAACTTCAACATTTTTACTACCTATCTATTATGTATAAAGCTAGTCAAGAAATAAAATATTTACTATCTCTAAAAAATTGCTAAAAAAAGTGTGAAAAGTGTGATTTTTGAAAAGTACCTCTGCTAAGGTCTGGAGCAAAAAAAATATTCACCGTATTGAAAAATTTTACTTACATAAAAGTTGCACCCAGGTGTCGGCTTGAAAACGTAATTAACAGAATTTGCCTCTCTCATTCCAAAAAAAAAAAAATGGCAGCCATTTCCGCTCGACGGGGTAAAAAGGGACACCTCCCGGGGTAATTAAGGACACCCTTAAAAATGCATTTACAGTAGAACATCAGTTAGCAAAGGCTCCAGTTAACAAAAAAATTGATTAACAACAAATAATTTTGATTACATTTACCTCGCTTGGCAAAAAAAATTCACTTATCAAAAAATTAATGCATCATCGGTCATCACAAAATTGTACATAGAATGCTATAAATAGAATTGTGCACCGGGCATCATAGAATGAAAAGTAATTGACCTAAACTATGATTTATTTCTTCAAAACATATGATGGTCGTCACTAAAACATTATTTTCTGTTTCAGGTATCTTTTTCACGATCTTGTTTGTTATAGTGAAATCACAAGACTTGAATAAAATTGTGCAAAATTACAGGCAATCCTGTAAGCTTATGGATACAGAAGAAATGCTACATGGCTGCTGATATGAAGCTTGCAGTGGACAAAGTTCTTGTTAATGCTCAATGGCACGTCCAAGGATACAGTAATATCACATTAATAATACGGTAATGAATGAATATGGTAATATCATATCAATAAAGGAAAAACAAGTAAAAATGACAGAAAATGTCTTTTATTTTACATCTACATCATCTACAATGAAAGAGGAGGACATCAGAGTACTGTTAGTAATAGATGAGTACACTCTGCATGCTTCAAATGTTTGAAATTGAGTTTTATTTCAAGTGTCCCTTTTTACCCCATTGCAAGATTAATTCAGGAGCCTTTTATATTGCGTCTAGCGCCTTACAAATAGCATATGGAATTTTTTTGAAGATGCCATTCGATAGCCCTTGCAAAGAGCTATAAAATGAGCCTAAACTTGTTTCTGAAATGTTTCATGGTAAGAAGTTCTTAACAAAAAATGCTCAAAACCGTCCCTTTTTACCCCGTTTGATGGTACCTAATAGGTTAAAAAATTAAAAATGTGACCCACAAAAAAGCGCTATTATTTAAAGCCTGTCATAGAACCCTCTCCAATTTTCTTATTTTTTGGTAAAATAACTCCAGGTTTTGGTGCATTGTAGTAGAACTCTTCTAGTTACATATGCAAATGACAAATTTTAGGAAAGTGTCATAGTTTGCAAATGGGGGGCACTGCCCAAGAATGGGGGAACTTGACCACCAAATGTCAGCCCTGATGGGGTAACATAGACTGGCTTGGAAATTAATTTAAAATTACCAAATATAACATATTTCATGTTTGATACACCTATTAATGTTTTTTCTTTGTGTTTCAGACTCTACAGTCTTATATATGGTAATTTCAACTTAATTTCCAAGCTGGTCAATATTACCCCTTCACAGCTGACATTAGGTGGTCTAAGTTCCCCCATTCAGGGGTGGTGCCCCCCCATTTGCAAACTATGACACTTTCCTCAAATTTGTCATTTGCATATGTAACTAGAAGAGTTCTACAATGCACCAAAACCTGGAGTTATTTGGAGTATTTTTTTACCAAAAAATATAATTGATTTTACCACCCAGTCTAAGATACCCCAAGAGCTGGGGTAACAAAGACCATCACTTTTTATGAAATTACATAAAAACTATGAGAGGCAGGAGTCAGCAATTTATGGTGAGTGAACCTAGAGTATAAACCTGTATTTTGCATGTTTCAATTCAAGTTTAACTTAGCTAATAAAAAAATGGCATCATTTAAAAAAAAGTACTAGTCTAAGTTTACCCATTTTACAGTAATTATCAACAATTCAATGCAATAAGGAATGAAATAATTTTTAATACATTAACTTGCAGGACCTGGCAGGTCAGTATGCAACCAGCCTGTTAGGCAAAATTTCTGTCATTGACTTAACACCTTTGTAAAAACATTTTGGTAATTTCTTTATCCATTCCTACATCATTTGCATTTTCAGAATAATTAGTAATGAAGTGTGGTTCTGGCAGTCTTTTATTAAAAAATGTTATCAAGATCTTCAACTGATGCATTCAAGCATCAGTTCAAGATAAATTCTATTAAAGTCAAGCATAACTTTTATCATCTGATTGAGAGAGCATGGCCGTACCTATACCTGAGATTTTTTGGTAACCTTCTAAGAAAAGTTTAAGAAAATGTCATGTTTTCTATGAGAAAATATTTAGTATTGTTGCTTTTGTCGATACCACAATTTCTCAGAAATGATAATGATTTTCAAAAATACTTCATGAATTAAAATATGGGTACAAACAATCAGTAGTTAGATTTAGCAATAATATAAGAGATGATTGATTAAATTTATCAACTTACATTTTTTTGCACCTTGCACTTCTTTTATATCTTTATCAACAGTTTTAAAATAAATTAGATCACCTTCACTCAATTCTGTTCCTTTACTATCATTTGATTTGTCACTCGATATCCCAACCTTATTTTTTATGTTTGACTTTTTACTTTTCTTGCTTGACAGACCAATGTGTGTCCTGAAATTATTATGATCAGCCATTTTGAACTTAGTCAGAATCTGGAAAAAATAAAATTGTATAAATATAAGAATTTTGATTGAATTTAATGCATTCACTAAATTCTAAATATTCATTTTACATCAAAATAATCTTTAGAGGGGCCATGAGATTTCCAAAATAAGTAGGAAAATTTAAAATTTCCAATCCTGCCATTAGGTATGTGCACAAACTATGAGCAAACCACAACAATGCAAGCAAAATGGCAGACAGCCACTTTCCGCTTTGTTGTTCGCAAGAGTTAATGACCTCCAAAATAATGACCTATAACAATGAAAGAAAGGGGAGACTGTGCAGGATTCCCCCATTTAGTAACCAAGCTGCAGCCAGAGTAGACTCTTCGTGAGGGATCACTGTTCGTGGTAGGACCGAGGCTCTATAATGCCTTGCCAAAAGCGCTGAGAGGAGGGGAGTTCACCCTTGCAACATTCAAGAGATGACTGGACAAGTGGTTGAGAAAGATCCCGGATTGTCCAGTACGTAATGGGAAACTACCCTCAGCAAGTGACAAGCAACAGCATCTTGCATCAGCTGGCCCAAAGGAGGGCAAATAGACGGAACACGTCCAACGTAACATCCGACGACGACTCAGAGACAAAGGACAATGAAGGCGGTGCATCAGCGTGACCGGGAACTAGGAAGTCCCAAACTCATCATAAGGTCATAAGTTACGGTATTTAATTTTAAAAGTGATGCCAGACTGGTACATTAATTTGATGGGCGGGTGTTTGGAAAAATAAAAAAAATTGAAATATGACAAGACCATCTTTTTTTTGAGAACAAAAGTGAGTCATATAGCGAATACGAATCAAAGAATGAAAATGATTCATACATTGAAAGTGAGTAGAATAACAAATGTGAGTCACAAACAAATGTGAGTCACAAACAAATGTGAGTCAAAGGATGATAGTGAGTCTGGAGTCAAGGAACAAATGGTACTTGGAGGGTGAAAGAGCATCAAAGGACAAAAGTGAATCAATGGACAAAGTGAATCAGGAAATGAAAGTGAGTTGATGAACAGAAATGAGTCAAATAACGCAAGTGAGTCAAATAACAATAGTGAGTCAAATAACAATAGTGACTTGAGTCAAATGACAAATGTGAGTCAAATAACAAAAGTGAGTCAAATAACAAAAGTGAGTCAAATAACGAAAGTGAGTCGAGTAACAAATATGAGTCAAATCATGAAAGTGAGCTGAAGACTGAAATGAGTAGAAAAATGGGAAGTGAGTCAAAGAATGGAAGCGAGTTAATGCACAAAAGTGAGTCAAAGGACATGAGTAAGTCAAGAGACAAAAGTGAGTCAGAGCATGAAAGTGAGTTAAGAACAAAAGTGAGTCTAAGAATAAGAGTGAGTTGAAGAATGAAAGTGAGTCAAATAACAAAGGTGAGTTAAATAAAAATGAGTCGAAGAATGAAAGTTGAGTCACAGAATAAAAGTGAGTCATAGAACAGAAGTGAGTCAAAAAACAACAAAAGTACCGTAGTATATCATGAAGAATTATTTTGCTCATAGTTCAAGCCCTGACCTCATCATAGTGAGTAATTGTACCTCATTTACGAATATGAGCAATGGTGAATTATGTAGGTATATGGGAATTATTTTTTATTTACAATAATTGGTGCAGCAGAACAAAAGATTATGCGTGCACTAATATTATTCTTGACTAACAATTTGTGGCAGAAACTAGGAACAAACATATTACAGTCAAATTAAAATGATAAGAGTAAGACTTTCTCCAATAGAGATTAGGCACCACTCACATTTCATACCATATTACTACAATTTATATACAGTGCAGAGTTGAAACTAGAAAGTCCAATGGAAGACATTGACAGCAGGGTTGGCAATGATTAAATCAAAATGATTAAATCATGTGATTAAATCACTTGATTTTTTTATAAAAAAATCATGATTTTTTTATTTTTTCAATTTTTTTTTATTTTTTTTTTATTTTTTTCATATATTTAAAAATATTGAGTGGTAGTCTTCAATTTATATTGAGGTATTGTTATTCATGGTTTAGTATAAATGTACTATGAATGACAAATTGGTATATAAACTTGTTGTTGTGTGTATTAGGTTCCAATAAATTGAATGTTTTTGGTACAGAGGCATCAAGAGTGCAATACATTGTAGGTAGCTAGCAGCTTAGCTAATTCTTATAAGGCTATAAGTAGTCTAACTATTTGACTATTTGTTATATTTTGATTACAATATACAATTTAAATGTGTTAGCTAGCTTATACAGGGTGGGGCAGAACTGAAACTGATTGTACAGTTTTGAGGCGAAATAAAAAAATAACGGAGGTACATAAAGAAGAAAGTTTATTTTTTTCATGATTAGCATAACATACCATTTAAAATACTTATGTTTTGAAAACAATATCAGGAAGATGGGGTTTGTTAGCTGCATCACACTGTTGGAGTTGTTCTCGGAAGTTTCCTAC